ACACACACACACACACACACACACACACACACACACACACACACACTAAAGGACCAGGCAACAGGCTAGGATTTTTCTTATTCATATTCTTGACAACTTCTGAAATTCATTAGGCTGGTGCAGAATTCAAAAGTTGGTAGCTTTGACTGTTTCAACCTGAAAGAAAAAAAGAGTTTCCTTGTTTTTATCAGTTCTGTATCATGTATATGTCGACTTGGGAGTTGTATTCATTTTTTTTTTTCAGTCATTTTCAGAGAAGCACATTCTGTAGTGTTTTCAGTCCTTCTGTCTGTCACCCTTCACTTAAAGTAGAAGAGGTGGTCAGCAAACATTAGCCTTTGTCATACAAGGCACTTAAAACATACTTCCAAATATGAGTATTTTTAGCAGTTTACCCTTTTTTTCCTTTTTTTCTTTGTGAATAGTTGCAAAGCTCAATACACAACTGGCATTGCCTTATTTTAGAGCAGCAGGTGATAGTACTGACTCATAAAAGCCAGCTCTAAGCTGTATATTTACTCACAAGCACGTTGTAATATACACAGCATCTACAGATGTTTTCTAGTCACATCTTTGACAGTATGCTCGTCTACTTTTGCTGGTATTAACTCAATGTACACTATAGTTCTGCTTTGTAACTATATTCTTGAAGTTGCCCAGCCTTGCAAGGTTTTAGTATTGCTTACTTGTGAAAAAGCTCATCAGCATCATGCACAGTATCAGCTGGTTCCTCAGAAACTACCTCAGATGAAGCCAGGTCAGGGCTAGTTCAGGCAGCACAAAGGAAGAAAGGTGGTAGCGACAGAGACAGCAGGAGTTAGTAAAGACAGCTTAGTGCTTAGTTACTTCTTTTACCTCCTTCCTCAAAAATGGCACTGCTGAGTTTAATGCATGAAAAATTAATTAGCTGCCCTAGCTCATTACACCTAGAAAGGTTTTAGGCATTAAATGATTCCCCCCTCCCTCTTCTCTCCCCCAGCCCACCCCTCCCTGACTGGTAGGAACCAGCAATTCCTCCTGAAGACAGGAGATGGCTGAAGGTGCTCAGGAGCTCAAGTTTACACCTCTTAACAAAATCCTTATATGTGGTTAATTGTGGCTGCAAAAAAGATTTAGTTCAAAACTGCAAATGTAGATGCATATTGGCTACTGTGAGTGTGTGCTTTGAAGCAGAGACTTCATCAACATTAGTGGTATATCTAACTACAGCTGCATCATCAATTACATCAGTTACAATGCTCACAAGTATTTAAAATGTAGGCAAGAATATATGGGCACACAGAGAATGGCTTATTCAAGTAACAGATTAGAAGCAGAAGTGACAACAGCATTAAAAAGTGGCAAGAAACTACAAAAGGCAACTTCTCAATAGCACAAGAGAAGTGTTTCATCACCTACAGACAGACAGATCAAGGGGCTGGGCAATGCTATGCTTTCTTCAGCGGAAAAATAAAACTTTTCAGGAAATTTCTGTTTATGAAGCTACTACTCATGTAAAAAAAACCCAAAACAACATTTTAGAAAAAGCTCTAACAAGCTTGTGTTGCTTCTTCAGATACTGTGTAGCATTACTAAACATCGCTTATTGCCTTCCAAGGGAAATACAGGATCAAGTCTTATTCACTGAAAACCTGCAACAGTATATTGTCTAGTATAAAATTCTGATGAAATTCTCAATGCTCCAGGCAGATTAGTTTCAATAATTATAGATTTCATATTAAGATACATTGCAAATTTGCATAATGTTGTTCAAAATTTGGTCCTGTTGTTCAAAATAGTAACCTGTTCTCTGGGCACAGAACGATAATTTTTAAGGTACACGGTGATCTCACATTATTTACTTCCAGTGCTTTAGCCAAATAACATCTGAGCATAGGCACAGTGCCTACTAATACTAAAGGACTTAATAATACATTCTGCCTGACACAGACTACAACTACAGTTGGCAGTGTAGTTAAGAAGACACTTGTATCAAATCTCCTCAACAAACAAGAGCTTGTTTTTCTTTTTTTACACCTCTTTGTCAGACAGTGGCACAAGAATTTAAGTATATCTTGAAATTCTGAGAACCGGTATCTCCAGATACAAACCAACTCATGGTTTCAGTATCAGTTTGCCATAAGTATGTAGATGCAAGGATACTTTATGGAAACATGGCAATCCTAAACTGATACACATCAGGCCAGATATCGCCCAAATTCAAGATATATCATTAAGGTACACAGGAAGCTTAGTTTAACAAAGAAGCAAAATCAGCATGAAAGCTAAACACAAGACTGTGTGGCTAACGTTCTCAGGTTGATTGCTACAGACTCAGTTTCCCATGAGCAGAGGTATTCGATAAAGATAGCATATCCAGCACAAAGTTCAAGAATACCTCTCTTGATGCACAACTACTACCAGGAATGCATCCAATAAACTGGAACAAAACCAGAAGTTATTTATCGTTTGTATTCTTTTGTCTAATCCTGCTTTAGTAGACAAATGCTTTACCAGATGCCTTAGAGGATGACTTAATTACCTTGCAAAGTTGTCATCTGAACCAGGAGCAAGAGGTGCAACAGCAGAAGCTGAATCTGAAAATACATCCACCAGCAGGCTACCACTAGAGGAAGGTGGGGGAGCTGAATTGGTGAGAGGGGCTGCACCCAGACCCAGCAGATCCGCAGATGGAGAAGGAGTAGACTAGGGAAGACAAGATACGTAGAGATCAGATCTTAAAATACACAAATTTGCTCAAATAGATCAAATCCAGTGACCAGGAAACAGAATCATGCACCGTTAATAAAATAAAGGCTTCATACGTGCACAAATAATGTGCAAGAGCAAAGCAGAGACTGATTGTTAAATAAAGTGTTCATGCATTAGACATTAGCACCCTACATTATGCCAGATAAGCTGAGAATGCAAGTCATAAGAAAACAAAACTACAGACCTAATTCAAATGCAAGCCAACTCAAAATTTTCATATATTCCAAAGACTGACTTTGATGGAGGATGAAAGAAAAATACCTGACTAAATTTTTTCAGAAATCAATCAGTAATATCTACTCAAAACAATGAGATGAACCCCAAGTTCATCTTCAGGCATCCAAGCCAAGTTGACATCCAAACTAGTGATGAAGGTAACTTAGCAGAATTTCTTACACTGCTGCAATTCAAAGTGAAGCTCATAAGGCAGAACACAATTTTAAATACCAGATACATCAGCCAATCTGGCAGATAAAGAATGTTTGGCATCTCTTCTGCCTGAAAAATGTATCTGTTCATTGAAACATAACTCATCTGGAACGTATAAGAGTTAAAGGAGTAAGTTGTAAGGCAGGGAGCATGCTAAAATGCTACTGCATTTCACTGTATTTACAAGCATAACCTGTAAACTAGAACAGCAACAAGCATTATGTCATGGGAATCATTCATTTGACCAACCTTAAATGACATTACAATGAGGTGGTTCAACACAGAAAAAAAAAAAAGGAGACTCATGTACAGCAACCGAACAGAAACAGCACCATCAAATAAACAGCAATTACTGATTTAAGGACATCCCAGGCAAGTATGGTCCACTACTAGTAAAAACAACAGTAACCCAAAGCAAGATGCAGAAGTAGGCATGTTAGATAACGTAGAAGAACAGCTGACATTTCAAAAGGAGTAAGTTCAATTTCAAACACCTTCATCACCTTCGTCAGCTTCATCACCAAGGAAATCTTTATTTCTAAGACTACAGCAGTATTTACCAAAATACCAACAAAGGAGGGATAAGTGTATAGCAAACATTCATAGCCTGAAATTTGAGACAAGAAGCTTTAAGCCCCTAAAAAGCCAAGGAAACCAGCCTTTCCTCACCTGCACACCCTCTGAGTTAGTGAAGTAAGAACAGATTTTAAACTCACAACAGCACTGGCATTGACAGACGCAGGTTCAGCACTTCCATTCATATCAGAGCTCCTCTCCTTTTTGATCTCTTCCAGATCAGTAACTGTGCCTGGACCTTTCTTCTTCTTGAGTTTAGCCAAAATAGAAGATTCCCTCTCTGGAAAGGGAGGCATTTCCTCTAGCACTGTAGCCTTATCACAGGGGAAAAAAAAAAAAAAAGAAAAGAAAAAGTATACTAATTATATTTACAGAATAAGTCAAATCAACTTCCCAGTCTTTGAAGAGACATTCAGGCCTACACAGAAAATGACTATGTATGAAAGGCTGGTATACAGTGGTAGATAAGACTTCCTTTAAAAAAAAAATTATTTGAAATTCCTCCTAAAGCTGTTGCATAGAAGAAAAGGAGTGTATTACCTGTTTGATAAAGTGCATTTTAAAATAAATAAATGAAGAGGGAGGGAGAAGACTACAGCAGACCTACACCAAGATCTGAACCCACAGATTACCTAAGGATTTAGTTAGACCGAGATGCCTATTAGCTGTCCAGGCTGAGAGCACCATGCTCTGGCCTGAGTGCATTAGGTTACCTGGAATTTCTAGAGACAAAAGTTTTGTGCCCACCAGCAAACAAGTAGATTTCACAGATCTTCTCAAGTAGTCTGAAACTGTTTAACACCAGCATCAAAAAAATCTGTAAGGATTAAGTGAGGACCTCCTTTTCTATTTGGTTTCAATTTATGCATTGCCTTCGTCAAGTGTTCTTTAAGATATGCTGCTTTCCTTCACTCACACTCAGAGATGACATTAATTTCTCAATAATTGCAAAGCTAAAGGACATGAAGACAACCAGATCGTTGTGTGGAGGAATGGAAGTGGAAGAAATCCGTTTGAGAGTTTGAGGCCTCGATCCAATAAATATATCTTTGAACTGCTTATCAAACCTCTGAAAACCTAGAATATTTTCATTAAGATACAAGCAGTCATTTTCCTTCCCAAAGAAGTAACACCTTTGATATTAGTTTTAAAGAAGGCCGCAGCTGAATTATGTACACTAAGAACCAGCATCCATTTTACAGATCTGTAATTCCACATTAAGATTTCTGAGCAATCAGCTAAGGTTTAGTCAAGTGTACTTATTGGGAGAAGAAATGGTTAAGAGTTCTGCATAATAAAAAGGGTTCTGTACCTACCAATATATCGGTACTGGCAATAGTACTGAGCCTCAAATACTCAACAGCTCTCTGCTGCAGCTCAACATCAGCATTCTTTAGCTGACTGTCACTGCGCAATACATCTTGAATAGTAGTTTTGATTTCTGGAAACAGGTTCACAAACTTGATGTAGGTGGACAGCAGCAGAGCTCGGGTAGGAACACTACACAGATGAAACTTGGAATGCAGCAAGTTGAACTGGATGAGGGGACTTGAAAGAGGGGAAGAAAAATAATTAGTTCAGATTCTGTTGACGTGATAACCACAATGGCATTGCTATCAGAAGCTGAATCATTTGTTAACTGACTTTTAGGAATATTAAATAGATGATTTTATTTTTTTTAAGTACTTCAATGAACTTAAAAGGTGTTTTACCTTGATCTTGGATCACCTGCTATCAGATTACCAAACTCTCCCAAGATGTAGCCACCTACTTTAACAAGATTCTCATGGCACGCTGGAGCTTGAAGGGCCTGTAGGAACACAGTATTAGTCACCAATCTGTACTGTATTAAAAATACATAATTTTTTTCCCTTTTCCCATTTTTTTTCCATTTTTTCCCTGTCTTTCCCTTGTTTAGTTTCCTAGACTACTTCTGTATATTAGCAGGTAATGGTTGCATACTTCTACAAGGATCACCAAGTTACTACTACTCTGGATTCCAGCATCCAGAAAACTCAGGGCGAAAAAAAACAGTGTAAAAGGCTTCTATTTTTACTACATTTCAGAAAACGTCCAGAAAATTAATAATTTCCTTATTAATCCATCCAATTATTCTCACCTCAAAAACAGTCTTTGCTGCATACCCTTGTACATCATCCCTGTTGATAACGATCTGAATGACTCGGTACCACACTTCTTCACTGACGTAGTCACCGGCAATACGAATCAGATTCAAGATTGTGTCCACATACCAGGTGTAATCCACTGCGTACTTCTCTGCTAGAATTGCAACTTTCAGAACCTGAACACACAAAACAATCAAGAAGGTTGACCAGCTTCTGCTATAACCTCTATACCAGGATTTACTTTATATACTTGCAGTGATATCACACAGTAGCACAGAAGCCTCAGTTTCAGCCCACATGCTCCCATGTCAAAGGCAAAAGATGAACACAGATTTTGTGCTAGAACACGTGGCTGCCAGGTACTTTCCTGGCAATGCATTTGAATGTGTTGCACCTGTGGCTGTATGTTTTGAATACTTTGCTATAAAATCACCAATTAAGCCATCATAGAGACAGCACTGATGAAAACCTCAAAAGTTATTGAAAAAATGTTAAAAAAAGGATCATTTCAAGAAAATTTAGTGCCTATCAACAACAAAGTAATTACAAAGTAATTACCACAAGCATAGATTTTGGCTATCATTTCACAAATGATAAACTGGTTCATATATCATAAATGATAAACATTTCATAAACTGGTTATAACACTTCTTGCAATTTTTGCCCCACCAGGAGGAAGGAAATAGACATCGCACCACCTTTTAGTTGATCACAAGCCATCGTTTTGGGGAATCTGTAGACTGAAACAGTCTCCTTACAGCAAACACAGTATGAAGTTCTACCCACAAGTAAGCAGACATCACAGTAGTTTTTTTAGCTACTCATCAGTTGACTTGAGAAGGACATAACTCTCATATCTAGGGACTGTATCTGCTCAAACATCAGCACTTCACCTTCTACACGCAATGCCCTGAAACCAAGATTACGTTTTAAAATTCCTTATTTTCAAGTGCTTTTCTCTCCCCTCCTCCATTAGTTTAACTAAGAAATGAAGAACATTCTTTGCTATTAGACTAACAGCCCTCCAGTTGGTTTCTAAAACCACAGTCAAAGAATTTCTATCACAAATAGCATCCCAATCAATAAACGATACCAAAGGCAGACATGAAAAACTGAGGAACTAAAAATATCTCACAATTTCTTCTCTAATGGAATAGTCAGCAGTCTCCAAGTAATTCAGCATTTCAGCCACAATCTGCTGGGCGTTGCTTCGGTCACACATTGCATACAGGAGATCCACAGCTCTTTGCCGTACGCTCACATCTCTTTCAGTCTGCAAAAGGACACACAGCAAAAGGTCAAAATAATTTCACCTTTGTTGGGAAAAGATGCAACTTAATGAAGAGATAAGACATTATAACTCATGGTCAAATTTCCAAAGTTTTCCATATGCACATTAGACTTCTTCTGTGAATGAGTTTGCAGTCTTTTCTGCACTAAATAATTAGTACCAATGGCCACAGATGAGCTAATAACTGGCTGAAATTGTCAAATTGTCACCAGGCCAATGGGCAGTTATGTCTTGCAGTTTTAATGTCAAGCCTCCCTCAAATCAACAGAAGCTCAGCTAAAACAGACCTGTACTTTAAGGTTAGACAGATGTATGAATATGCTACAGCATGAGCTTGGAAGAAAACATTACATGTAAACACTGAACTGTGAACGTAAAGGTATATGCAAATTAGGCTTCCTCTTCACATCTGCTTTCTCACAGAAACATGACCTGAAAATTCATCTTTCTGGTTTCTTGACCTTTGGAAAAAAACGGCCCATGCTCCACTGGAAACCAATCTACTTCATTGCTCTCCATCAGCTGCTACAGTGAACGTAAAGTATGTGGTACAAGCAAGACAGTAACAGGACAAAGTCTTCCTCAGCATTCTCAATTTCGAATTTCAAGTTTCAGCTTCACTCTACAGATTGAGCAGGATACTGTTACAGGGGCCACAGCTACAAGTATCAGATTCACTAGTAAGCTGAAGAAATAAGCTAAAGCTGACCTCTGTTATTGCCAGCACAGCATGATGAAGGAAAATAACTCTTTTCATTCCCAAGTATTACTAGCCTAACCAGGGATAAGGAAGGGGCTCTGGGGATGAGAGGGGGAAAAAGCAGTGAAGAAGGGGACACAAGGGGTGGGAGAAGAGACTGAAAACCGACCGTACACTTAATATTTACCTTTAGTGCATTGATAACAGTTTCTATGTGTGTTTTCACAGCCTCATGTGAGAATTCAGAGCTGGCAAGCGTGCACATGCTTTCCAGTGCTAGGTAACGCAAATTAGTTTCTCGGTGCTGCAAGAACTGACCTAGCTGGTTACAGGCACGGACTAGTAGATTTGGCTCACTGCACAGAACAGGAGAGAAAGTGAAAGGGTTAAAAGCAACAGATTCGAGAACATCAAATACAGAATACTATTTCTGCAGTGCAAATTTCTTTAAGTGCCTCAGGTGTCTGCTAGAATGTCCTGCTGGTGAAATGAAAATGCAGACACTGAGAACAAATCATATCTAATGGATTAAAGCAGTGATCTCAACACAAAACACTCGCCCCTAAAAAAGCAAGAAAAGTCACAATAAACTGTTCTGCCAGTGACACCGTGCATTAACTTCCAAACCAATCGCAGTGCTTGCGCTCCAACCTAGCAAGCAGCTTCTTATTCTGCTTTTCCCCATCTGGTAAAAATTTGCTCACTGTTCAAAAGCCATGATTTTTCTTTTAGAAAAGTCATACTGCAACAAAACTGTTTTCACAGCTCACCTGTCGTGATGTATAATTAAACTGATCGCCTCAAATAGCACAGCATTCTTCGCATTTGAGTGTTGTACTTTCTTTGACTTTGGTGGCTCCTGTGCTTTGTTAAGAATAGTTTCTAGGCATTCTGTGAGACGACCACGTACCGCAGGGTCTTCTAGAGAAGAACAAGCCGTTGGACAACTTCATTTTGCTCAACACCCTAACCTCTACCTAAGGCCTTCCACCTTGCTAAATACACGGATTAAACTGAAGTATTCAGTTTACTAAACAGTTCATCCATTCCCTCTTCAACCTCAGTGTACAGACATCAAAAATTCCAAGAAATATCTATTGAGCAAGAGTAAAAACCAAACATCATTGGCACTGTCATATATTTCAAGGCATTAATATCCTTGATAGCATTAAAGTATGTTTAAAATGGCTGTTGTGTGCTGCATACTGGTCTCACATCTGACACTTCACAACTAAACATAGTTCAACAGAACACGTAGCTTAGAGCAATCTGATAAACTCAGAAGTATAGGCTTCAGCAGCCTTGTCTTAGGGCACAGTGCTTGCACTCCAACTTAATGGGTGCAGTACAGAGCAGTAGCTCTTTGAATGTAGCAAACAGCATCAGCTATGACCACCGTTGCGATTTGTGCATTACCTGGAGGTGGGTAGCACTGTAAGAGCCTCAGAAGTTTCACAGATAACCAAGGAGCAGGGACAAAATAGTACGTATAGTCCTGAAGATCTGTTGATGCGGAAGTTACAATCTGTAAAATAAGCAGACATCACTTCAGCTACTTACGTTAAGTGATTTGCAATCGTGATAAGCAGCTAAAGAACACCATAGGTCACTTTTGACAGAAGCCTACAGAATTATGTCACCAAAAATGATTAATTAAGTAGCTTAACTCTGTGCAAACTGTCATACTACCGAGTACAACATTAGGATTTCTAATACAAGAAATTCAGCTTTGCTAATAAAGTATTCCATTGAGTTCCTTCCTGAAATCATGCTTGCTTGTCTTAAGAATGAAGATGATCATCTCATAGGGCCAAGATGTTTAGCTAGAAGCCTGACTTCCCTTGGGTCAGCATTTCATATATTTAGGCTTCCTATTGGCTGATTCCAGTGCTGTAATTGACTGATCACTGGTAGGTGAACTCAGAAATCAAATAGAAGATGGTACTGCAAACTGAACTATTACCTTCATTGCTATTCATACTGCACAGCAAAGAACGGATGGCTTTCACTGAAAGGATTTTTATGGATAGAGAGTGTGACAAGAATTAGATTAGATTTCAGAGGGAGTACCTTTCTTTGTGGATTTCTTTTTCCCCTTTGATTCTAGGGTTAACAAAAGTCTCGCATTAGCCTTGTACGAGGAAATTCTAACTCTTGCTGCTCCATTACAGAACAGCTATGCACTTCCTTTGCTTTTAAATATTAGACAGATTCTTCAGAATTGAACAGAAATTAAGTCTCTCTGAACAGCAAGTAATTTATTTTGCATCTAAGACCACACACAAATTGAAGCTCAACGCATAGCTGTAAAGTAATATTGTCACGTGCCTTGCAAGCTTCCAAAGAGACTGCAGCAAAACAAAACAGTAACATATAGTTTCCAGCATGAAGATGCTAACCTGGAAACTTTGCATCCATACAGAAATGTCTCTGCTCCTCTCCTTGCCCCTTGCCCCTTCTTCCCCTTGCCCCTGCTTAATCCCCTACATCCCATTTACAGAATATCTAGTACTGATGAATATTAGCCTAGTGGCAGCACAAAAGCAGGAAAAGAAAGACAACCCATCCTGTAAGAAGCTTAAATGTAGTTAGAAGCATAGGCTATAATTTTTGAGAGTTCTGTGCAGAAATTTGTAGAATCTTTTCTTCAAGTACTCCCTGGTGCTGCAGCAACATAAAAAGATGATTTAAAAAACCTCAGCTACATCCTGGGGATCCCTGAGAATACACGCAGCTGAGAGAGAATGTTTTGCTACATACATCTGCAGTATAGCAAGGATTATACAAAAAAAAAAGTTTGGGAAGTAAAGCTTTCTGTCCAGCTAAGCAAGAAATGTTAAAACGTTGTGTGAACTACCTGTACAAACCAGAATTGAATTATCCTCGGTTTTAATGGTATACTACATAAATCTGACCTAGAAAGATGAATCAATAAGCAACATTAAGATAATCTGACCTAGAAAGCAGAATGAATTAGGCTACCGTCAATCATTATCAGAGTTATCATTGGACTCACTCTGCTTAATCTCGACACTGCCAAAGAGACTGAAGTTTTGAACTCTTCTGGGTTCTTCTGTGCCAAAGTTGTGATCAGACTTGTAGCTGCAGTAACCACACCCTAGAAAGAAAAACAAAACCGCATATTCACCTTAATAACAATTTAGGATGCTGCTTGTTAACACCACCTTTCACTGGCAGTAATTTCTAATATAAAAGAAAACTGAGTTAATCCCCACGACAAAGACTCATATTAAAGAGCCATTTATTTTACAATCATGCAGACAAATTGCACGCCTTTAAAACTGAGTAGGACTTTCAATGTGATACTATCATGCCTGCAGAGCATTTCTTGTTGTTTTTGTATGAGCTTTGCCTCACATTTGGATAGTACATATAAAACACATTCAGAGAGCTGCACTAAAATAAAGCCTGGATGCAAACTATCTTCTTAAACAAGAGCAGCATGAGTGAAAAAAAACCAGGATGCAACAGATGATCCAGAAAAGCATTCTGGCAACTGAATGTGAAGAATCGCCTTTTATAATACAAACATTTTATATTGCTGAAGACAAAAGTGTTCCCATTACAATCAAAACAAAGGTCTAAATTGACTTTCTTCCTAAAGTAATCAGACAAAAGAATAGTCTGTTCTCTAAAATAACAGGTTTTTCCTTTTGAACCAGCAGGATAAGAATGACAACATGGATTGCACAGGACAGTGAAGTCCAGGCACTGCTACATCAGGCCTCGCATTTTTAGTGTTTAGTCCTAAGAAAATCAGCATTACATCTACACATCAGACTCAGGATCACAAGGCTCACAATTTACAGTCAGAGCAAACAAAGAACTTATGCATACCATTCCTTTTACGCGCCAACAATATTTAAGGCGAGCACAGTTTGAATAAAAATTAAAATATACAGCAATTTGTGAAAGAACTTCTTCCGTCTCTTTACCCTTGTCTTAAAACAGCAACCCACCTGGTGGAAAAACTCTAGAGAAATAAATTCATACACAGAGTAGACCAAAGAAGAATAACTGAGCTGATTTACCAAGTGCTGGTCATTGAGGAGATGTACCACTCTGGACGTCCAGTCTCCCATGGGGACAAGGTCAGGGGAAGTTCTATACAAACGCAGCAGGCATAAGGCAGCACTCTGCTTCACACTATCCATAGTATCTCTGCAAGATAGAACCACAATATTTTAAACCCACAGTAAAGTCACAGCAATGCCCACGGGCTAGCAGTGTGCTAAACTTCATACAGGCTCAGCAGCTTCTGAGAGAGAGCATATTTTCAGCAGAAGTTTGCTAAATAAGTTCTTCCTGAGTAACAGTATTTGTTCTGAAATTCATCCAATAAGTTTAACTGGTCAAGTGCTCATCCATTACACACATCTAGTAGCTCCTATAATGATTCTTTTACTTAAGGAGACATCTCACAACTTTTCATCAGGTCCATCATCAGAACTCCTCATTGAGTCAAGATCTCACTAAATGTTAAGAACAGAAGCTTCTTCCAAACAGACTCACGCAGTTCAGGTCCATTACACTACACATGTGAACTAAGCTGGATCTCTTGACAGGTACTGCATATCAGAGATGAATCATTACCTGCTCAACACTCAACAGCTTCATTACCAACAGGCAGCATGCAAATTGACTGGCTGTCACCAAACAGGCAACCCACAAGCCTATTCACCTTGGCATCCACATTGCTGGCAGGAGAACTGACTATTTTAGGTGCACTGTACTATTCTAGTTCAGTGAGCTTCCTCTCACAGAATAGAGAATAGTGCATTGGTGGTTTTTTTGTTTATAATAATGTTGCATGTGTCACAACAGCTAAAAAATAAGCATGACGCATAAGCAACAAAAGTTTTAAGAGGCAGTTTATAATGAGAAATCTTGGTTAAATGTTCAGAAATGTCCACAGCCCCGGCAGAAGTTCAGTCTCCTTATTATCTAAGAAGTTACCAATTTTCAATGACACCATTCCATACATCCTTCAAGCTTTGAAGACTCAGGGCATAAAAAGCTCAGTGTTCAAACAAGTCTCAATTGAAAGTGCTCTTCTCTGCTGATGACCAATGAATGCACTTTCTCTAGGCATGCATAAGAAGAAACTTCAAGTCCAAGAAAGGTGGAATTCCACAACAGAATTCTTCCCACATCATCAATGAGACTAAGGCCTATAGTAAGTAGCAGGTGCTGGCTGCTTATTCTTCTCTTTCTGGCCCATATTAAATTTTAGCTCTGCAGAACATTAATATTGTTCAAATGCAGTATTATAAAAACAATCTCAAGAATTTGAAAGTGTTCCACATGAATTTTGCCACAACTAGACATCACTTATTGCATCCTTCTTGTCAACAGCTTAGACTTTGCACATTATTTTAAGTTTCCAAAAGAAATAAAAAAGAAGAAGTGTAGCAATCTCAAGCTTTCTAATAAATTTAGACTACAGTTTAGAAATTTACCAGGTCTGGTCAGAGATTTCTTAGCAATAAGAAATGAAATTCAGAGTGGCTATGACTACTTGTTGGTTACAGGAACAGCTATTCACAAGGCCATCAGATGAGGCAAGAACACTCGCTCTACAGAATATTAGCACACTCCTCATGAAGTCAGGACTATTAAAAAAAGCTCTTATAAGCAAATTTGTAGTTTAAGCCCCTACTTATTTTCATTTATTTCTCTTCTTTTCATCAAAAGAAGCGAGGGAAGTAAAACAGGCATTTCGGTGCTCATTAGCACGCATTTATGAAGAACAAAAACTTGATCAGTACACAAAGCTATAAAAATCTATTCAAGATGTTGACAGCCTTAATTTCTCACGTAATACCAGTACTCTTCTACAAGCAACTCCACCTTTGGCTTTACCAGAATGTTTGCAGCTACGGGAGACCATTTATACGGCAAGCACAGGGCTGTGCAGCTCAAAGCATGGATTGAGCTGCTCCTGTTGAACCGAGTCAGTGCAGGAAGGCACGTCACACCTACCCAGCTACCAGGATTTTTGGAATTTCTCCAGCAAACGCTTCCGCCATCTCGCGGCTGCCCACGTTGGCAATGCAGTGCAGGGCCAGACCCATGAAGGTGGGGTTGCGGCTGGCCAGATCGTTCTTGATGGCGTTGTTTATGAGGCGGATCAGCTCACTGTTGGAGTTCACCAGGACGGAGATGAAGAGATAGCCCTGCGTTTCAGAAAAAGGATAAGGAGCATTTATTTTAGCTGGCATGCTATGTTTTCTGCTAATGCCACAAGCAATACTTCAGGACACACTGTGTCTTCAATATCAAATGTGTGGGCAGAAACATAATTAGACACTAGAGTGAAAGCTAGAAAGATGAAGTGCAGATGAAGTAGTCTGATGCCCCCTTATTTATCAGAAAGCTCAAGGTCTGCAGATCAATCTGTTTCAGCGTGTAACCAAAAGATCACTCTGAGTGAGTGGGATAATATGTGAATGAGAAGCAAAAGAAGAATCTTATTGTTTAGGCACTCGTACTTAACAGGTACTTGATAAATAAGGCATTACCTAAGAAAGTTTGGAGAGATTACAAAAATTAAGTTACTTGCCTATTCTGTTTCAAGTATAAATGGTTAACCTCCACACAGCACTTAAAGTGCAACTCGTGCTTGCATTATAGTCTGTTAGCAGGAGCTAACATTTCTCAGAAGTCTCTGTCTCTATCTAAATGCAAGACTCAAGGCAGTGACCAAAGAAAAACAGCATTGTTGCACAGAGTACACATTTCAGCTGTTATAATTTGTGGAATATTCTTAAACACTACTTGCTAGTGCAAGATACAAGATCTGAGTCACTTACTAGAACAAGATAAAAGATCTTCGTGCAAAAAGGTATTTTCATTTTAGAAATCACTGCTAAATCCCAAACAAGGCTTTCATTTGAGGGAGGGGGAAAGTACTTACAGATTAAATAGCTAAGGCAGAATATTAGACAGAATGCCTTCTCTTTTAAGTACTCACAATTTGTTTTTCTGTGTATCTATTGGAACTGAGCAGGTTTACAGCCTCCATATGACCAAAGTCAATGTCATGCCCCAGGAGAAAGATGAAAAGCAGCTTGCAGACATATTTTTTCTTACTGTAACCATCCAGAGCCTTGTCGCCTGGAAAGTAGGGAAATGAAAAGCAATTAAGCCTATATTGTTTCTATATCAGCTTTTCTTCCTCCCCAGGGAGAGAGTTCCACCCAAGTACCATTTAAGTACTACACTTAATACCACACTTAAATACAGTAACAAGACATAATTGTATCTAGTAATGAAGACTGACATTTGATTTATCATGTATTACCATATAAAACAGAAAACCTTTGAGCATCAGTTATTAGTCAAGTGATGGCAGTTTTTGCACCATTAACCTTGGCATTCAGTTAACAATAAATGAAAACTTACCAGGCTGCTGAGTTTTATAATCTCAGAAGTATTGTCTCATGTGCAAGTGTAAGGTAGATGTAAATCACTGAATATTTTTGTAGTTTCAGTTGAAAGGTAAGTAATTAATTTAAATTATTATTTGAGCTTTTATTCACTCAGCAGTGAATAAATGCATAAGATACACTTAACTCTGATTTTTTTATCATTTTGTGCTAAAAATACAGAAGTTATCCCCAACAGTCCCCAACACATCAGAAAATTTGAGTAAAATATCCTTTGGACTTCAAAAAGAAATGAAAAGAGAGTTACAGAACAGTCACAGAACGCAGGTAGCTTGCATCTCTTCCTAATGGAAGAGAAATACAGAAACTCAATAAATGGAAGTCACTGAATGAAAGCATTTACATGTAACATTCAAATATTTACTGAAATCTGAAATTCATATAAAGGAAAAGGAAAAACCAACTCTGAAGACTCCAGTGTTAATTCCACTTGCCATCACCCATATCTTAAAGTACAGCCATCAAATAACGCTGTCAGCTAGTCTCTGAATTCTCCTGATGTGCCTCTGGAATGTCTCCTTAATAAGAGTGTTTATAAGATGAAAGCACTCTCAAGTGCTTCATTTTTAGAAACCAAATACATTCTAAATAGCTTTCATCTTTATTTGATGGTTGGACCAGATGATCTCAGTCATCTTTTCCAACCTGAATGATTCTATCTGGACTGATATTGCAGTACCTCTGAATTCTAGAAGCTTGTCAGCATGGTCTTTTAAAGCATTTTATTCCGTATTCAGTTACATGAAACAGCACAGAAGCTTACAGCTGATCAGGCAGTCTACTGCTTTTCCAAAAGAAGATACCTTTTAAAAAGTGCTTTTTGCAAAGCTCTCTCTCCCTGTCCTAAATCAGGAAGTCAAGGAGCACACACGAAGCCATACAAGCTGCAGTGCTGAAGTTTAGTCAGGTTAGCAAAATTTTGATAGATGCTGCTGCCTAAAAGGCTACATAAGCTTCTTAGCCTCTGCGTTCTGGGCCCAGAATAACTCCTGTCAGATCGATGTGCATTCCTTCATGAAGGGCATGTTCAGTCAGAATAGCCCTGCATAACGAGAAGCTTAAAAAAAGATCTGCTCAAGTTGTTGCCCTTACCAAAAAAGCTCCACTCTTAAAACAAAAATAACAAAAATTGCTTGAGATTTATGTAATAAGCAGCTAAACATGTAATTAAAAAACGCCTTAAAAGTCTCACTAGTATAAAGTTCCCCCTTCTTCCTTCTCATCTACTGGTGCAGAGCCAGGTTAGAATTCCTATAGCAAGCATCTCCAGCCCCCATAGATTTCACACTTACCTAACACTGCTATAAACTGGCCTTAGAGTTTGTGATGGAATGAATGCTAACATCAGTCTTTGAAGCCACACAGTGTTACTGAATCAAGAAAAACCATGCTGGAACATTGAAACAGACAACAAGACAAGGTTCTGCATACAGGCAGCAACTACGACTGTTTTGGGGGCTGCTTTCTGTTTTGACTCTCTAGTCTTCAAGCTGGTATTTTTTTCCTTAAGAGAAACTCCTAGCTTTCATGTATTTAGTTGTTTTCCAAAAGAGAAAACAAATGTATGCACATGATTAGAGCTGCAATACAGACAGCCTAGTAAAAATATCCTTTACATTGCCTAGACACCATTTGATCTTACAGAATTTGGGTTGTTTGCTTTTTTAACAGCAGTGTATCTCTTATGAACAAGCAGCAGCCTTACCATGAAACTATTTTTGTGCTAATCAGGGAAAAGCTGCAGACCAGCAACAAGCCAAAGGTTTCCAGGCAAATGATTAAAAGAACTGAGATCTACATAACTGAGGACTTGCTACAGCATTTAAAAGCATCAGTATCACGATGCTTCTCTCAGAGATCCAGATACAACAGAAGGCGTCAGAATGCAGCTTCACATCTACTTCACCATATGTGAGAGAAACCTGAGTCTGCAAGACTGCCCAGCTGCAAGAGCAGGAGTGCACAGGAGCCACAGGTACAAACCTCATTCTTCTCATCTTCCCAAATGACCGCTGTTGACTTTGTGAGATCAAAAAGGGAGCACAAAGCAGAGGAGATAAAAGTATTTACACTCAGACTTGCATTGGTTTTCACAACAAAATATTTAGCAGATTAGCAGTGACCTTGCAGCATCTTAGGGTATGTGAAGCATCTTCGATGGAAACTATGCCATGCAATCCAGCCTCACAATGCTACCACCCTACTGCCAGGGCAAAAGCAGCTTCTTTCTAAGGAGGAACACCACTGTAACAATTCCTGAAACACTTCTCCTTAAGAAAAAAAATACTTATTGTCTGTTTTCAACAGTTTCTGACACACAGCACAGGCAAATTAAAGATTCTGATTAACAGGAAACCTTCAAATTAAGCCAAGCACTCACCACTAGATCACCCCTCTAAAGCTTTTAGTCCCCAGCAATAATAGCATGTTATTTCCACTCCTTTTTTTTTTTTTCACCCCCTCACCTTGTTTTAAATACCTTTTGATTAGCTGTGCATTTAAAATAACAAGTACTGCAAAGGTCTCATTACAGTTATCTAAATTTAACATGTTTTGAAGAAAAACTTGGCTTCAGATCCTTACTGAAATGTTAACTATCCGATTCTCTCCCAGACAAGTAGCATTTACTGAGTTCAAAGACCATTTTAAACACTACTAACAAATCTCTGCTTAAGTACGTGCTAAAATAGTACAGCCCCTCCCAGATCCAAGCAAACATCCTAAAAACAAAAGCAGAAGGAAGTTTTGCATGTTCTGTTATCTTTATTGCAATACACAATCGTTTCTTTCAACTCAGCCCATTTTTAAACGCTTCCATGTACATTTATTTGTAAGTACTACAAATCAAGTCAGCAGAAACAGGAAGGATCCAGAACACGTCAGCAGGTTTTGAGCACAGTGGGGTATTTCAAAGACTACTTGCTTTTTCTGAACAGTTGAGTTTGCAAGATTTCTTTCAGGCAGCCATCAGAAATGGCAGAGAGAAGGCACAAATGCCTAACAAGACCTTTTGGCTCTGAAGCAGCTCCCTCCTGTCCATCATTTCACCGTGAGTCCAAACACAGCATTTGCTTTTCAATTTTATACCCTGCTACACAGCTACAGAGCCTGCCACCAGCATGAGAGGTTGCAAAGCAGTTCAGCCCTGTAGGATATTCACTAGGGAACAGAGCAGGGAAGCTCTGTCAAATCCCACAAGCAGTCGACTGCTATCTCCAAGTCCATAAACAGGTTAGCTTCCAGAACTTCAATAGCGGCTTATATAAAACATAGTGGATAACATCCTTAAGTGCTCCCCTGCTTTTAATGTGCTTTCTCTCTACATTACTTCAGCTATGTAACTTTACACAGTGACCTGTTTCTGCACACAATGTGCTCATAGCCTAAAGGCCAAAAACCAAAGCTTTTTATGAATGTACCTAAACTTCAATGTTAAGACAGGATTTGTCTTTCTGTGAGTGTGATACAGTCTAAGCCCTCTGAATAGAAGGCTGAACATTTGTGACTGACAACCCATACAAATCTATGAGAGAGTAGTATTTAACTACTGCACTGCCACTAGAGCACCCTTACAGTTCAGTTGATATTTGAACTCTGGTTTTACTTCCAACAACTCACTTTGTCAGTGCAGACACTTACTACATAATAAGACTGTCTTAAATCTAACAGCTACTCTTCTAACACAAAACTCATTAAGTAACCACAAAAAAAAACCAAACCTAAGCTTCAATATCAGATCTGAATCAGGCAGAAAACACAACTCCTTCATATACAGAAACACTGTATACATATTTGGACAGTTTTGCCATTACACAAATTTTTGAGAGATCAAAATTAAGCAACAAATCAATAAATAATTTTTGCTCAAGAAAGCAGATCTCCTTCACAAACAAATACTCTAAAAGTCAGGCTTCTAGTTTGGCTCGAGCCTGGGAACGAGTTCAGCTTATAATCTGAATACAAAACAAACAGAATATTTTTTCTGTGCTTCACACAACTCCTACAACTTCTGCTTTATTACACTGGTGTAGTTTCTTGATACTGCACGTGTCTTATCTCAGTTAATGCAGGAGCATTTGAAGCAACTGTCAAGGACACGCTGACCTTAACAACTCAGCTTTCTCATGCTGAAACAAGAGACAGAGCCACTTTAAGTACAGAGACTCTGGATTCCTTCTGAACAAGCAGCACAGAAGCCAGATCCAAGCCCAGCACCAAGACATACATTGCATCGGCTCAGGAAAAGCTGTGCACATACATACATATACAACCTTACCCAAGTCCATTAAGCACGAGGGTATTTTAAATAGCAGCTTAGCCCAAACGTGGGCAACAGTCTTAATAGCTACGCCTTTGACAGACAAGGAGTATTAATACTTATATTCTCACAATATCTTGCTAGCTACATGAGATGAGGGGCTAGGCACTGCAATAGAACATGTGGGACATAGAAGTCTAGAGGAAGGGACTGACAGCGGCCTCTTATGCTGGGCTCAAGCAAGGGCATGCTTGTGACAACTACCAGCTTGCTTCTTACAGCCAGGCCTAACAGCTGCATCTTCAGCCACGTAATTATCACAGGGCCCCCATGTACACCATAATTGAGAGGGGTGCCCCACCTTAAGGGACTCCATTACACACTTGTCTTATTTAACAAACATTTAAAAAAAAAATAATCAGTGTTATATAAAAAAGAATTGGATTAAACTGATCTTGGTTGAATTAAGACAAAAGTGTATTATGAAGTTCAGTGTGTTTTTATGTGGGTATCTGCAAAGGAAAACCATGTTGCGAAGTCCACATAGAACTTCTGCAGCAGAAAGATACACAGCTATCATCTCCTCAGGCCCTCAAGGCTGCAAGCAGTTACACTCTGACAAGCTGTCCAGACTCAGACCCACCCAAATTTTGACATTCTGGTCTTGTTTTCCTACAGAGAATGTCAAGTTGCTGTCTTCCATTTGAAGGACATCTGAAGTCCACAAAGTAACGTATACATGTAGATCATTTAACGGGAAGGCTAAGTCATATTTCATTCAGGTTACCACCCTTGAATACATACTGCTAAGATGGCTGGGTGATGGGGCAAAACACTCCCTTAGCAAGTTTACAGAGGGTACAGAGCCAGAAGGAGTGGCACCAAAAGGGTTGTGCTGCCATCCAGAGGGAGCTTGAGAAGCTGGAGAATTGGGCTGACAGGAACTTCATCTTTCTTTTCCCAGAATTCATTAACCAGATGACTTCTGTTCTACGTAACACAAAGCAGGCACCACAGAATCACAGAATCTCCTGAATTAAAAGGGACACAAGAAGATCACTGAATCCAGCTCCTGGCTCCACACAGGACCATCCAAAATCCAAACCCTGGGTCTAAAGAGTGTTGCCCAAATGCTCCTTGAACTCTGGCAGCTTTGGGCTATGCTCACTGACCCAGGCAGCCTGTTCCATGCCCAACCACCCTCTCAGTAAAGAACCTTTCCCTAACACCCAACCTGACCCTGCCCTGATGCAGCTCCACACCATTCCCTCAGGCCAACACATCCAATTCAGCAATCTTCATCATAGGATCACTGAGGTACTTTAGTGACTTTTCTAGGGAAGACAGAAAAAAAGGAAGTTTACATTTAGTCATCTCCCCTGCCATTAAATAATTTCTCACTTCCTTCACACAGCAAAGCTCCCATCTGACACTGATGGTGGTCTGATTTTTGGCATAAATACGAGGTTTTGCACAGTCTGCTCCAGAGCTTAACTTTCCGTTATCCAATCCAAGAATAAAACTTGTGTCCACTCTCCAGTGATTCCAGCAGACATTGTGTTCATTCACTCTAAGCAGCAAGCACATTTAGTTTTGTTACTTCCAACTGCATGATCAACAAGGCTGACCTTATTACCCACTAAAAGTAAGCATAACTGTAGCATTTTAACCAAGAGGTTTAATCTCCAAACAAGATTTATATTAGACACAGTTAGCATGTCTTGCAGGTAAAGTGACCCTACTTAGCTAAAAACAGTTCAAGAAGTTAGTGCACGTGTTTAATAAGTCAGTCACATACATTTATTGCTATTTTATCTTCCTACCAATTTGCCATCACCCTTAAGAGATGCACCACTTAAAAGAACATCAACGGATCCTTATGTAGTTCACGCAATAACTATTTGAAATAGACATGCTAAACTAGGTCACGATAGACTAGGAAGGTAAAAAGGTTTAATCCAAAGCCAGCAAGTTCTGAAGCCATACTCTGGGCAGCCTGGTCTGGTGGTTGGTGACCCTGCACATAGCAGTGGGGTTGAAACTAGATCAGCATTCTGGTCCTTTTCAACCCAGGCCATTCTATGATTCCACACACGACCTCACAGCAGCAATGCCTTATCTAGGTACACACAGCCCCATATCTCTTCAAACAGAATGTTTACCACAGCCATTTCTGCTGAAATTTCATTCAGAAGAATTTCAACTATCCCTCAGTATCTTCAAGATTTGAATCCACATACAAACTTAACCATTTGCATACAGTCACAGCACTGGTTAAGAAGCAAACTGCCACCTCTCAGGACAGAATGAGGATAGAATTAATCACTGCATACAACTTGGTTTCATATGAATAACCTTTGATGCTGTTATTTATGGGAGTGGTCAATATGGCCTCATCAAGTACACATTTTTATCTTAATTTTTCTAGAAGGGAGTTTAATACATGACTTTCCTAAGCAGATGGGGGTGGGAGGGATGCTTAAATATGTTCTGCTTCACTGAAAAAAATTACACCCACTCATGTTTTTTTTCAAACTAACTCTCAGCCTTTTGCAAGAAAACAGGCTGAGCAGTCACATGGCTGGGTGGCAAAGCATTAGAAAGCCTGTGAACACTAGCTCATTTTCTTCTGCTATGGCTGAGTCACACGACAGTCAGGAAGTTCTGTACTTAAGAGAACACTTTCAGCAGTTATTTTAACAGCCCACTCCAGAATTTTGCTTATGTCTGCAGTTGACACACAAAAAAATCCAAACGTACAAAAGAAAAACACAAAAATGTAATGAGAAAAGTGAATAGTACAGTTCAGAACAGTCAGTTCACTTACCTTTAAATTTTGACCGAATGTTTGCCAGTTCTTTATTTATTCTCTTTATCTCTGCTTCTTTGCTTTTGCCTGAAATCAAAAGAACAGACATCAGGATACAGTGTTTCAAACAGCTGTGTTGACCTCAAGCTTCTTCCCACCCCATCACTTTGCATGAACATACAAATATCAGGAGCAATTCTTATTTCCCTTCCCAAAGCAGCATTAGGACTGAAGGCAAGCGCCATAGAGAGAACTTAAGCACTGCTTTATACGAGAGTCCAAGAAGGTAATGACACAACCATGTTTCAAAACATTTTACTTGCAGCCTTTAGACAGCATGAAAGTCTCACATAGTTAATGTGAGATGCCTTTGTTATTGACTTCCATAAATACCTCAGTTCCTGCATTTTTAGAATAAAATGAGGAGGGGAAAAAAAAAAGAGAAACTTGATTACTAGGTTGACAGTGCTCTTGAGAAAGAATCTTCCTGAGCACAGTCATCTGAACAAACAAATTATGGTACTCCTCAGCTCCAGGAGGAGTCAGTTCACTGTTTCTCTGTTGAACAGTCACTCAAACAGCTTCAAAAAGAAAATCTTCGTGACCTTAAAGGACATTAAAAAAAGAAAGTAGAGAAAGTAGTATGAGTACTCCAAAGACTGATAGACCTCAAGCAGGAGGGATAAGCTTAGGTTTACCAGACTTCTGATATGCACCATGGATGTCACCTGACAAAACAGTATTTGCAACTCACGTTTCTCACATGACTAACACCTTAAGGTTCTCAACAGTTTATGTTTTGTATCAACCCCTGACTCTATGGATATGTGCTAGGTTTTCAGGAGCTAACCCAATTTAGATACACCAAGAAATAAGCTGCAGTTTCAATTTTAGCAGTGCAATCTTATTCAAGTACTACTTGCACTGTCCAAAACAAAGGTGTTTATTGCTTGTCAGCATTTTTGTTTTTGGAGATTGAGATTCTACAACAGTCTGAGTCAGTTATCTCCTGTGTCAGTGAGCGTGGCAGAATGAATTATCCAGCTCAGGCACTGGATTCTATTGGCTGAAGTTTGGTAGAAGGAAATGAGTCCCATTCTAGGAATGCAGAACTGCCCATCTAATTGAGATGCAGATTCAGAGCCACATGCAATCAGATTTTTCAGCAGTTCCCAGAACATCTCAAGTGGCAACAGGAAAAGGCAGCTTTCTTTACCATCTGTCACAGGTATTCAGCCACGAGGCCGTGAATAAAAGCTTCCTGTCTCTGTAGGAAAGTGATCCAACCTTATCTGTTGGAGATCGGATGCCCCAGTTCCACACATCGCTTTCCCCACACCACTCTGGTCAGTGTAGGGAAGATATGTGACAAGGCTTGAAGAGCAGCACCAGCACGCTATGGTATCTCCAATCTCATCTTTTTCTTCCACATAAGCATAACTCATGGCATTTAAACACTGTACATTTGCACGCTACCCAATAACTGTTTCTCACTCCTTCACAATTCCAAAGATGATCTGGCAGTGGGTCAGATGAACACTGATCAAGTAATTTGAGGAAACAAGTGACTCGGGACAGGTTAACAATAGCAAAGAGGGAATCCCAGATCAAATATAAATTATTCCAGTTTGTTACCTCTTCATTTAGACTAAAAAAACCCCACAAAACAAGAGCAACAACAACAAAAACCTACACAACCAGTAAGATTCCACACCTAAACAAAAAACAACTTCTGCATTTTGCATAGCATGCAGAAAACTGGTTTATACTAACAAGCTACAATAATGGCCACAAGAGTGCAGAAAGAAGAGAACATGCAGAAAGACCAGCACACCATACAAACAGAAACAAGTTAGGCCCAAAGTCAAAGCAACTACATAAGTTTCCCTTGTCATTTGAACAAAAATGCTTACAGATGGGCTTAAAGTGAACGTTTTCATTCTCTGACATTGATAGACTCAAGTCACTGAGGTGTTGGGCGCCTTGGCAGGCAGTGCACACAACTAAAAGAAAACCATCTTCCCCCACACCCAGCCCTGAAAAACTACTTACTTGTACATACTCGTCCACCTATTGTTATTAACATGGTAAAGCTTTTCAGGGTTCAAGGATTCACAGTACCTGTTCTGCACCATAAATCGCATTCGCTATCTAAATGCATCTTGTTCTTCAGATAAATCAGGGCATATCTCCAGCTTTTCATTTGGCCTAGAAACTCCAATTCATTTCCGGGCTGACAAGGCTAGAGATCACAGCTCACTTCCTTCACTTCCCTCGCTCTTTAGAACTCATCTGCTTGGATCACAAAGTTTAACCTGTTTCCACCAACATTTCACACACACAGTCTTCTTCAAATTCAACTTGGCCAACCTCTAACAAGCAGGTTTTACAGCAGAAGCACCATTCTCCGTATAAATAGATAACTGATAGAATCTAAAGCCTAAAGTATCTTCTGCCACACATTTTTTATTTGTCTTAATTGAAGTAGATTATTTGTCCTGTTCACGTGCAGGAGATATGCTGGTGTTCTCACCACAGAGTCTTGTCAGCTTTAGGAATTCAACACTAAACAGAAGTCGGGCTTCTGAAATATATGCCAAAAGGATGCAAGTGTTCATGTAAGTTTAAAACTTTCCAAGTTCCCTACACTGTCTTCAATCAGTATTCTTTGTCAGGCCTGAAAACACATTCCTTATTTCCAGCAATTCATCTGCTCTGGTAAAACAAAAATCAGAGGATAAAGTTTTAATTTCTAGAGCTACTCATTTATCTTCTCTGCCAAGTGAAAGGGGCATATCATTTTAGTGTTACCAGCGAGGCTGGACACTGTGTACATCATCTAGATAAACTGGTCAGAGAACATACTTCAGTCTGGGATATCACTAGCTTGAGTAGAATATTTCATTAAGTTTGGAAGCTAGGTCTTAGCTCTAGGTCTTTAGGCAATGTCTGCAAGCATTGAAATATTTACTCTCAAATATTATTAACTGTTTCTCCAATCTCAGGAAGTGTGGCAATAATCCCTGAAGTCTGAAATGGAGAGGGAGGTAAGAAACACGACAAGTATGTATGTCTCATTCAGCTTTTCTTAACCCAAAGTGAAATTCAAGCTTTTTCTTTTTGAAGCACCATTATACTCTATCCATTATACTCATGCATTATTGGTTACAGCTATAAATTGAGTTCTTTACGTTCTAAGAAATAACAGAGCATTAGGGGAAGCTAGGCTAAAATACTTCAGGAATCTGTGAAGTCAGCATCCTTTGACAGAAATGGATTGCAGTCTCAGCAAAAGACAAAAACAAAATCCCACCCCCTGAGCACACAGCTGGAACAGTGCGCTGCCAGGAAGACCCATCAGAAACAGCAAACTCAGTTTGAATTTGTAGATTCTCCATAAATCATAAATCTGCACAGTACACGAACATAAAACCAGCCCGTTTTTAGTAATTCCTGCAGGCTGTTCTATTTTGAATGCACTACATAATCTCATCGAGAACTTGACAAAACACAGCTACCATAGCAACCAGCTGGTGATAAAAACTTAACTCCACATATTGGAAACCAAAGTTGGATGATTAAGTCCTAAACCGTCTCCTTATTACACACATTTCATCCAGAAAGCATCTGGAAATAATAAAGAAATTACTTAATCTCCTAGGAGTTTCATTTAACTGGCTGTTGCAGGCTTGTGTAGAATGAGCCATTATGGAGTGAGGCAAGAAGACGCAGAACAGCCATATATATGTATACAACAATACTTTTAAAGCTACTGCTTTAACAGCTATCCCAAATGTCACCTGCAGGGTTATTAATGTCAACAATGCTGTTAGATAAACAGCAAGACTAAAAGATATGCTTTTGTCCCTCAAAATTCCTCCTGCGCCGTTCAAGTTCAAGTAAAATGGCTTAAATTCTGAAGCCAATGAATGAATTTCACTATTGTCCGTTCCCAAGGTGAGGCAAAGATCTCTCAGCACCAGCACGAGTTAAAACTAAGCTGAAACAGCGTTAAAAATGTAAAATTGCCAGAAGCCTCCAACAGTTACATTGCACAGTAATCTTATCCAAACTTAACTTACTGCTCACATGAAATGTTGACAAAACACAATAAAGTCTCACAGTGGCTGACAGTTTTTCTTTGTTATATGTAGAAGGAAAAAAAAAAAAACAAAAAAACCCAGAAAACTAAGCATCAGTTTTAGATGGATCTTCCTTCCCACAGCTAAAGAAAACATGTTTAACCAACACGTTTTCCTTATTACTCAGCTACAGTAACACTCACTGAAGAATTTCTACTTGTTTGATTCTGTCACAGCAAGAAATACAGAAGCATCCTCAAGGATGGTCAAAAATGAAGATAAGCCCACTGCTGGTGACAGCTGAAAGAGAACCATGCTGCAGAACTACAGGCTTACATTTCATTTCAAAGGCAGTCATTCCATCTGTCTCATTTGCAGGCTGTTAAGCAACTTCAAGAAACTATCAGAGCTGTATTCCAATATGACATATTGTAGCCAAGCCATTCCATTCCGAGGGACTTCATAAAGGTCATGTAATTTATATACTGATGGGTAGAATAAGTAGGACACTAGATTACATCCAGGCCACATCCTTCTCATTTTCATTCTTCCTGACTTCTTCTAGCTCAGTATGCCTGTGGTTAAATAGCCACAGCAAGTGAATAAAAGAGGTGACTTCAAGTTGGTACATTCTGGCCAGTTGTTGTGTAGAAGACACGTACTTACAGCCACAGAGTATGACTGCTGTCAGTCTTCTCCAAGACAAGTACCTAAGTAGATATCTGGCCCCAATATGGTCCAAGGCACTCTGCAAGCAGTTCACATCTGGCAGACTGCCATGCTTCAGACTCCACTGTACTGCATACTGCTTTCATTAGGCAAGGTATACTTATTCTGTGTTCTACTCTTATCTTTAATTACTATCTTGTTTGACAAAGATAGACTACTGAACATCAAAAGTTATCCAGCTCCTTGGGAAATAGGCAACTACCCTTAACCTCTTGGCAATCCAGGGAGTAGTCAAAGCTTTAGTAATATCAATGTGTTTAAGCTTGGGATTTTACA